ATTGTGCTTTTCAGATATCAGAAGTAGTCTTAATCATTCAATCCAGCTGAGCACATGGAAATTTGTTGGTGTGGGTGTGGGAGGAACGTGGTGTAGGAGATAGGTAGTGTTTTTGACTTTGGTAAAAGGTGGATAAACAGAAGTACCCCAAAGGGAGACAAAGGAAAAGCAGCTGTTTGATAACTGAAGCTCATAGCCTGAGCAGGAACACAATACAGTAAAGCAGCTCAGGTGAGGTAGGTATTAACTGTAGAAACAGTAAAATATCTCACGCTTATCAGTGTTTGGTGATGGAGAATAAAAGTATCAAATTAGAGGTGGATCTTCTTTGAAATAAGGACCACCAAGCACTTACAAAGCTACTGCAAAGTGGAAAGTTTGGAGTCAAACCATGGAAGGATTTTCTTAGTGCATGCATTTGAATTCTTTTCAGATGAACTGCGGTGCAAGGAGGACATGTTTAATGGTAGAATGAGCTGGGTAAACATAATTTTAAAAGTTGGTTCAAAATACAATTTTTCTGAGCAAATATGAACAGGTTTATTTTCTTTCCTTTGGGAATTAAAAGCAAGGAGATTTAGGACTTCCTATAATTGCACAAAATAAATGGTTCAAGAAGGACAGAAGAAATATTTGACACTGTTCTGTCATTAGGAGATTAATACGTAAGTAAAAATGTAGCTGTGGTAACAGTTCAAGTCTTTCTCTTTTTTTTGTCCTTTAAGATTTTGCATCAAAATCTAAACAACGTTGAGATTCCACCTTACCCTGGTAAGAATGGCTAGCATTAAGAAATCAACCAATAACAAATGTTGGCAAGGCTGTGGAGAAATAGGAACCCTTCTCCACTGCTGGTGGGAGTGTAGACTGGTGAAACCACTGTGGAAATCATTTTGGATATTCCTCAGCAAACTAGGTCTAGAGGTCCCATTCAACCCAGCTATTCCCCTTCTGGGTATTTTCCCAGAAGATCTACAAAGATCACATCGCAGCGGTATATGTTCACCTATGTTTATAGCAGCACAATTTGTAATTGCTAAATTGTGGAAGCAACCCAAATGTCCATCCACCAAGGATTAGATAAGAAAATTGTGGTACTTTTATAGAATGGGATATTACTCAGTTATGAAGAAAGATAAACTCAAGGCCTTTATAGATAAATCGTCACAACTAGAGACCATACTCATAAGTGAAATAAATCAAACATACATGTGCAAGCACCGCATTGTTTCACTAGTATAAAACATGAAAGAGTTAATTTAAACTAGAAGGTATGATAGACATTGTGAAATGATAGGAAAACACTCAAGGGTAAAGGGCAACTGGGATGTGAGAAAAGAGAAGAGAAAGAAGGAGAAATTTTTATGTATGTATACACAGGATAGTTAACATAGCTGTTCTACTATCTTCTATTTCTTTGCTGAAAGAAACTGTGAATGAGTCCTTGATTGATCAATATTGCATGTCTCTATCTGTTGTCATGAGAAACCACTTTGAAGATATCAATATATAATACAACAAGCATTATTAATTTCCTACCACTTTGTTGGTAACTCTGTATTGACTGTACTGTTCTTTTGCTATTTTGTAAAAGGTTGTCTGTCTGTTAATGTTTTCCTCCTTTTATTTTTAAAATAAAAAAAACAGGATTTTGCATCAAAATACCTCCAGTTTTTAAACACTTAAATCCCAGTGGATGCTGTATTTACTGTACTTGTGCTGTGGAACAACCCAGACACAAGTGACAGTGTAAGTATCAACGAAGCAGTTGATTTTCAAATTGAAAAGGCAAGAGCTGGGGATTTAGCTCAGTGGCAAAGCGCCTGCCTGGCAAGTACAAGGTCGTGAGTTCGGTTCCCAGTACCGGAGAAAAACCAAAAAAAAAAAAAAAAAAAAAGAAAAGTCAAGATGGGCTTTAATGAGGTAATACTTCAATATTAGTTTACATGTGGTCTCATAGCTTTAAGAATATGAAGAGACCTAAGGTAGGGTAGATATTAAAGACATTCCAACTAAGCATTTTGATTCAATAAATTTTCAATAAGATCTTAATATAGGCAAGAGATATGAACTTGAAAAGATGCAGAAATTAAATGATGTAATATGTCTGTTCTATGAAGATATCTAAAGCAAAAACTACTGTTTTATTTCCCTTATAATCTGAAGCTTTAAAACCATATTTTACAAAATAAAAATGCCTAATTAAGAAATTAGGGCTTATCTCACAGCACTTATTCTCTAGTATTTTAAAGCTACAGCACCTTTCTATTTTTTTTTTTTTTTTTTGTTTTTCTCTGGTACCGGGAACCGAACTCACGACCTTGCGCTTGCCAGGCAGGCACTTTGCCGCTGAGCTAAATCCCCAGCCCCCAGCACCTTTCTATGGCATGAGAGTTGGTACAACTACTACGCCATGCCAAATAATAGCGCAAATACGTTTTTCGATCAAGAATTTCTAAATATACCTCATGGAAGAAAGAGCCTGCCTGAAGCAATGGATAAGAACATAATGCTTGCGGTAGTATAACTGCCCAGTTTCTGATTATTGGAGGGTTTTAATAACATATTTAGTCACTATCTCTTGTCTGGGACGCAATGCTCAGCACCAGTTATCCTGGCCATGTTTCCAGTCTGTAGTTGGAGGCCCCAAGGCAGAAAGGCACTGTGGAAGGACCTGGGTGGAGGACAGCTGCTCACCTCCTGGCAGGCAGGAAGCAGAGATCTGGGAAAGGAGATAAGTCCTTCCGGGTCACACCCCCAGGGACCTGCCTGTTTGGCCAGAGCTCCCTTCCCAATGGCACATTTAGCTATAATCAGGGTACCAATCCTCACGACCCAATTACCCCCCAAAGTGCCTCCCATATTCACACGAGTCTTTGTGGGCACAGCTAGACATAAGCCATAACACAAATAATAACAAATTTGAGCAAAATTTAGTTACATAAGCATCTGATTCCCAAAGTCTCATGGTGGCAAGTGGAGTACAGAACTCTGCTTAGTTTTAAATACTCTGCTGCCCATAAACCACTCTTCTGACAAAATGATGAATGTTAAACTCATGTTTAAAAATGCAGCTCAGAAGATCTAAGTATTTACTCTAAAATTCTGTGAAGACAGTGTTCATTAATTATTTAAACACATTTGTCTCTTTGATTCTGGATTTGGTTTTCTTTTTTTTTTTTTTTTTTTTTTTTTTGGTTTTTCTCCGGTACCGGGAACCGAACTCACGGCCTTGCGCATGCCAGGCAAGCGCTTTTGCCGCTGAGCTAAATCCCCAGCCCCCTGGATTTGGTTTTCTTAGAGAGTTGACAGAAACATCACACACTAGAAATCTAAAGCACTGCCAATTTGGGGTCGGTGGGTTTAATATATAATGCTAAAATTTAATTATATTCATTCATTCCTGGTACACTTCTTCACAGCTAAATTTTCTTCTGAGATACAGACTGTTCCAAGGATATGATTCTTAAAGTCTGAAATTCAACTGCGTATTTTTGGAGACGGGGATCAAAGTGGTTACAATTTTTTATTCTATGGCATTGCAGCAATGTGCCTAAAATATCAATAAGCTAATCATAACCTTTGTAGAGAATTATCTTTGACACAAATTAAATGAAAAAAATTACTTTCTACAATAATGTAATTTTTCAGATATGATCATACTAGTGGAACATTAAAATGTACAAAACTACATTTAAAAAATAAACACTAAAATCTAAAGATGGTAAGTTACTGTTTTATTCAGTTTTTCTTTCTTTATTCAACTCATAGTTATGGGCCTTTTACCGTGCATAAGGTATATTAGGCCTGGTGTACTGGACAATATACTTCAAAATTATTTTCTTCTCCATAACTATTTTCCATAAGACACTGACATACTACAGTTTGCTAAATGTTACAGTGGTTGATGTACTTTTTTTTGGTTGACATATTTTTAATCAAAAATATGATTGATTTTTGTGTATGGAACAGGAAGAGACCTTCTTGTGCTCTTCTTGGTATTGATGAGAAAAATATTATTATTTTCAAAGTTAATCATAGTATTACCTTTAATCAGCAAGAAAATCTCTGCACAAGTTTACATAATGCTAAATTATTTTAAAGTACAGACATTTCCTTAATAGGTAGCTATTTGGAAATTGTAGAAGTTACCCTAAATGCATAACTATACATAGCAATGAAGTACTGCATTGACTAAAAATATTTTGAAATGTAATCAGTGACTCCAATCAATTTTTGCAAGGAAAACCTTGTGAACAGACTTTGAAGATCATAGCAGTTGGAATATTGTTTTCCTTATATTCTTAGAAGTATAATGTATATTTATGTCCTTAGAAAAGTAATGATTTAGAACAGCTTAGAAAAAAATTGATGTATACTAGTAGTCCCTTAAAAAAGACTTTTCACTTGCAATAACTCTTTAGCTCCAAGGAATTCCCTTGTGAATTATTTGTTTGGCTTGAGAATAACATTTGATATTTATATTAGTATTAGAAATAAAGGAATTTATTACATTCAAGTATTAATTGTAGTTCTTTGTTCTGAGACTGGGGATTGAACCAAGATCATTTGTGCTAAGCTACATCCTCAGCCCTTTGAGATAGAGTCTGGCTAAATCACAATGTGGCCCAGGCTGGATAGAATTTGTAACTGATCCTCCTGCCTCAGCCTCCCAAAGTGCTCAGACTACAGACATGTCACAACACCCAGCACATCTGTGTTGTCTTTTAGTGTAATATTAATTGCTAAAAGTGGAAAAATGATGTAAGAACATCCTAACACAAATGTCAGAAAGTATAAACTGGAGGTGATAAAATCGAGAGCACTACAGAGCAGAAACCTAGGCAAGTGCTCTACCACTGAGCCACATCCCCAACCCAGAGGCCAGGAAACTAAAGAGCAGTCTCACGCAGAATCTCTGCCATGCTCCCCGGCGAGATCTACCAGCCATTCAGGACATGAGGAGGGCAGCTACTGAAATGCTTAAATCTTTCACTTACCAACCTCCACAATGCTAGAGCAGTTGGGATCCGTGAAGCCATCTGGACACTCGCAGGAAAATGATTCGTCTGTCAGTCCCGACAAACAGATGCCTCCATTTTCACAGGGGTTCGGGTCACAGCCATCACCTGAGAAGTAAAGACACAACAGCTGATGTGGTGTTTGGTGTTTGGGGATGATGGGAGTTTTGTGTTTTTGTTCTTTGGTCTTGGCATTAATATACAATACCTCACAGTCCCCCACCACGACCCTGGGGCACAGTCCCTTTCCAGTGTAGATTCACATGGAAGACTCACAGGACCCACTTGAAATCATGTGTTTTGAAGAGAAATGGAACATAGCATGCTAAGAATTCAACTACATACTTCAAATACTTCATCTGAACGCTATGGGTTCAGTTTGGAGTTTGTTCACGACACGCAAATTAAATACTATCTTATTTGTTAAAAAAGATTAACCTAAATATGCACGGTAGACTGCTTTCATTACACATGTTAATAAATACTCTCTCTGCGGATGAGCAATTTGTTGTATAATTTTGCGCTTCCTTGCATTACAGGGAATGAAATTCATCTCTGGATCCTTTGAATCTGGGTTTATCCTGGTGGCTCGGTTGGGCGAATAGGATTTTTATCAGACCTACAGCTGATAGGAGTTTGAAAAACCAACTGAAAATTCCTACTTCCTTCTTTGGAATTTCACCATTGCCACGAAACCCCTTCTAGGCCATCCTGCTTGAAAAAATAAGAGAGAACATGGCAGGAAAGAAAGAATCTACAACCAAGAATAAGTTGCATGGAATAAAGACTTGATATTTGTGGCCTTGGTTTGACACTGGGGAGCGGACTGAATGGAGAACAGCGGTGAGGAATGGTGACAGGGAATCAGAAAAATGGTCACCAGTGTTGTGTAGCGATATAAACTGGTAAAGCTGTCACCAGAGATAACTTGAGAGAGAGTTCAAGTAACGGGAGGGAATGTAGAAGGGTCAGGTTTTGTATTAGAACATAAACCTGTTTCTCCACTACAATCTCTCCAATTAATGAATGATAAAATCTACAGCTTTGCCAGAAAGCTGTGAGGATAACATAAATATTCCTACAGGGATGTGGCTCTAAAGCTCTTTGAGAAAACATTTCAGAGCATTCACTTGATAGACACTCTTGGCTAAACAGGAGAGCACCTGGGGTCTTGGGGCTGGTTTGAGACTGAGTCTGATTGCAGAGCCAGCTCCTGACAGAGCCATGCCTGGGCTTTATTACAGGACGAGGGATGGAATGAGATTCATACCAGCCCATCCAGTGTTCAAGGGAGCTTTTTTTTTTTTTTTTTTTTTGATCTTTTTGAGACAGGGTCTCGCTATGCAGTTCAGGCCAGCCTTGAGCTCACTTTGTAGCCCAGGCTGGTCTCGAACTCACAACGATCTCCTGCCTCAGCCTCTCAAGTGCTGGGATTACAGGTGTGCGCCACCATGCCTGGCCAAGGGCACTTTATAAGTGAAAGTGCCACCTCTTGGCTAAAAGAGAAGGCTTTTCAAAAATTAGAGTAGTATCTTGGCCCCAATTTCCTACTACCTTGTATTTCTTAGGAACTACATTTCCTTATGAGAGATTTCAGGTGAATTCTTTTCTTCTCCAGATTAATCACATGAAATGTTTAAAAAAAAAATGGAAGTTAAAGTTTTCATCAAATTTATTTTTTAAAAAGTCATTATTCACACTAAGGTGATTGAAAACTAGTCCCTTAGCCCTGCAGCAGATCTCAGAAGAGAGTTATAAATGAATGCATGCCTGGGTGGAAGAAGAAGCTTTGAAGCATAGAAGCATTTAGTGTGTCTAGGCTAGGCTGTATTTGGTTGAGAAAGGCGGAGAAAGTACAGATCCGCCCTGTCAAAGAAGATTAAAGAATGGCATTGCAATTTATATGATAACCAGTGAATGAATGAAAGATCTGAACATGAAACTTAGCATTTTGATATGCTCAGCTCTATGTGTTAGGACAACCGTGGCAGCATTCCCCAGGGTGCATTTTGAATGTGGAAGTTGATGACATGGATTTCCTGGACAAGACTTTCTGTCTCTCTCTATATCTAGCTAGCTAGATATCTCACTGTCATTCTACTTGTAGATCCATTTTTGTAACTTTTATCAGTAAATGTTTGCAGTACAGACTAATTACTTTCCTCCTGGAGAACTGGTGCATGTAAATAACATATCTTAATTCATTTTATGTCCCCTTCCCCTCCCCTAACCCCTCCCTCCATCTCTTGGATCCCTTCCCATGTGCAAAAGATCTATCTTCTTGTCTCCTATCACATCTTTTCTTCTATTGCTTCAGTACCTCCTGTATGGTAGACATTGAGGTAACTATGGACCACACCAACCTGAATAAAGCTTTTGTGTACACAGCCTAGTTGGGAAAATAAAAATTACAATTATACTACCTAGACATAAGACCAGTGATTAATATACATGATCAAAATTTTGAGATCAATACAGATTTTTTAAGGGGATTCAGTACTGTGAGGTGTAAGATACCAGGAGTGGGGTGTAAAATGTCAATTTTCTAGGCAGAGGGAATAACATATTTGAAGGGAAAAAGAATCATTGTTTATTCACCTATACCACTTCAGCTAAATCACAGCTGCCTAGAAAGAATAGAGAATGAGGAGCTCAGAATGAGGTCATAAAAATTGGCAGCATGCACTGCCGATTTTTTTGGCATTTGTTTTTAAGCACTGGGAAATCATAAAAGAACTTTAGGTATGGGAAGGCATATGACCACAGTTGTGATTTGGAATTATTAGGGAGGTAACCCTGTGCTGGATCAGATGGAGGAGGCAAAGTTGAGGGCAAAAGCATAAAGCTGACCCAGTGACACATGTCTGTAATCTCAGAGGCTGAAGCAGGATAATCACCTTGCAGTTGAGACCGGTCTGGGCTATATAGCAAGTTCAAGGCCAGCCTGAACTCCATTGCAAGATCTTGGCTCAAGAAACAAACAAACAAAAAAATAAGCAAAAAAGAACAAGGCATTAATCTTTTGAAGTAGTCCTAGTGCAAAAATGAAAGAAAAAAAATCTGTGAAATGTTCTAGATCTTCCCTCAACCTGTCCATGGACAAGAAAATCAACCCAGCTGAAAAAACTATGCTATGGATGGAGACATGAAAATTCCCCCAAATCACTATCCAAAAGCACACTAACTCAGAAGGAAAGGTGCTACTCTTGAGACTTCACAGGGACAGCTGATGACCGGTGTAAATGTGTGCTCCTGCCTCTCCGCTCGCGGTGTGCACACAACAGCACATACACCAATGTAAGAGAGCATTACCACCTCCCAAACGATGGTCAAAGAGGAGCTCAACACAGACATTTTTCTGGTGTGAATTCTACTTCCTCGGTGTCAGCTGAGCACTCCCAGGACCTGACATAACACCAGTAGCTACAGGAATAAGGCAAGTCGCACGTGCTTACACTGATTTATTTGCATTGATGAAAGCAGTGTCCCTGGGAGACAGACCAGGTCTGAGTAGCGTCCTAGAGGCTCCATGGCGTATGGGCTTGCATTTACATGTTTACTCAGAGTCAAGACTCTCTTGGTCTGATCAGGCCTCGCCTGCAGCCGAGTTCCCACAGCAATGTGCAGTGTGCACTGATGTTGGGTCTACTCAGATGTGCTCAGGGCTTGCAGACTCTTTTCTTATCTTGTTCATTGTCTCCTTGCTCAGCTCATCCCATCATTTGAGAGACTTCTTGTTGTCTTCAAAAACCTTTTCTAACGTTTGTGCTGGCCTTTCTAGGCGACACTCTTAAATGTAGCTGATTTTCTACCACAGGGGTGTGCATGTGTGTGTGTGTGTGTGTGTGTGTGTGTGTGTGTATGTGTGCAGTTATGAAATGCTTCAGTAGTCACAGTGAGCCTCACCTCTGCTCATGTCCCATTACATCTTACAGTAGCCAGCTGTCGCTTGGCTGACCTGCTTTTCTCTCTTGTCCTTGTCCTTTTCATTCTTCTGTTTTGCTTATGCCTACTCATTTTGAATACACCATAAAATTTGTGAACAGTAACTTTTTAATTGACATAAAATTTATAAGCATTTATTATACACAACATGATGTTGAGGAGTATACATATACTGTGGAATGACTCAGGCTAGCTAATTAACATAATCATTATCTCATAGAGTTATTTTGGGGCTGAGTACACTGTACAGCCACTCAGCATTTTGCACGAATATAAAACTTCACCAACCGAATCACCATGCTGTGTGTTTCTCAGTCATGATCGTTTACAGAGCCCCTTTTAGAGAAGGAGAAAAGAAGTAACAGATTTGACCAAAACATACAATGACATTGTGATAAAATTGATATGTGACTTGAAGAACAGCAAAAAGTGTGGATTTATTTCTACATCTCTTACTTGCATGACTGAGATTTATTTCTACATCTCTTACTTGCATAAAAAAATGTGATGCATTTAGTTTTAAAAGAAGTGCTGCATTTTTTGTTGTTGTTTTTGTTTTTTGTCTTTTTTTGAGACAGGGTCTTGCTGTGCAGTTCAGGTTAGCCTTGAGCTCACCTGGTAGCCCAGACTGGTGTCAAACTCACAATGATTCTCCTGCTTCAGCCTCCCGAGTGCTGGGATTACAGGCGTGCACCACCACACCCGGCAGTGTTGCATTTCTGAAGTCCACAGGGCACCTAAAGTCAAAATGCCTAGGAAATCTGTTGAGTATTCTGGTAGGTACTGGGAGAACATTTGCTTCAAACTGAATTGTCAAGTAGGAAGTCAATAACTGCAAGGAGTCTTCAGAGGAAAGTGAAAGGAACAGAACAGCAAAAGGAAATCTCTCTGGAATGGAATGACCAGGCACACTAACAAATACCAGCAGAAAACCAGAAGATGCTCCAGAAATAAAAAGGCTATTGGTTCCTGACACTTTCTTCATCAGTATGTCCAGGTCTGCCTGAGGTGGGTAAAGGCCTAACACACCATGGTACCAAGGGGATAAGGCCAGCCAAAAACCACATGATCATCTCATTAGATGCAGAAAAAGCTTTCGACAAGGTCCAACATGCATTTATGATTAAAACTCTACAGAAAATAGGAATAG